TATCTGCATCCTTCCTGAAGCTGCAGCGTGTTTCTCTTGATGGAAGTTTTTTTTAGATATCAGATGGAGTTTGCGACGCTTTTGTTTTGAATGAACGTCCCAGAGTTTTGCCTCACCAGTTATATAGAAAGCAAAAACAACAGTTCTGTGGCTTTTCAGTTGGTTTAAGAGAGAACAACAACTGAGACGAAGGTTCACTCTAAAGTCAGCATACTGAACACTGAAAGTTCAAATCAATTCAAATGAGAGGGCTTCAAATGTTTTTACATCAAATATCCTAAAAGGACTTTAGATGCTTTTTTCCAACTTGAGATATAATGGAAATATGAATCGGATATAAAACATATACGCTTTGGTGTGTGTCGTGCATACTTAGAGGAATTAAATAAACCTGTTATACAAACTTTTGTACAATAAAAAATATAGAGAAATATTTACACAAATATTAAAAATAAAAATATTTCTGAAAATGTTATATGTGCATTATTGGAATTGTGCTGTTTTATTTCGAAGTACCATTTACAGACATTTATTAATTTGATTGAACATATTTTTTTTACATTTTTAATGCCTTTTTTAGTTGTCTTTTTCTTTTCTTTTCAACTTGTGAAAAAAACTAAGGCTACCAATGACATCCCAATCAGACATACTACATTTAATAAATATAACATCATAAATCAGAGCAGTGAGGGCTCTAAGGGGTTAAAATGAGGAGGGCAGTGATCTCTCCGGTTCTCCTCCCGGCTCCGCCTCCGACACACACCGATTTCGGATCCTAAAACTCGGATAAGACTTCACCTGTTCTCCTCTCTGGTTCTCCTCCTCCTGAATCCCCCTCAGCATGGGTGCGCTTCGTCCTTGATGTTATATCCTGAGCGCAGCGCGGAAGGATACGTTAGAGGAAATTAGGTCGCGTTCAGGTAAAAACACACCTCTGATCAAACGGACTTTTTCTCGGGTTTTCTGCTCTGTGTGTTACAGCAACTTTACTGTAGATACTGATACCCTAAAAACCACCCGTGGCTCAGCATTGGTGTAAAGTAACTAAGTAAGTACAATTGTAAGATACTTTACTTAGTATTTAAAATGTTGCAACTTCGTTCTTTTACTCCACTATGTATTTAATACCGTTAGTTACTACTAGGCTAATGTATCTGCATTGCTTCTCTCTCTGCGCGGTGCCTCAGACAGGTGCTGTGTGTGCATCACATTATGTGTTAAAATACACACATCTATCTGCAGTGATGTTTAAACAGGCTGTTTGCAGTGCAGCTGCTCTGTGGACCAGGGGGTTGGGTTCCAACACCTTTAAACTGGAGGGTTATCACTGGTTCGACCCCCCCTCCTCCTGTCTGCACGTCACGTGGTTTAAGCTCATTGTTAATGTTCATAGATAGATTTATTTCAGGTATGTCTTAACACAATGCATTTATTTAATTTTTTTACATTTGATTTTTGCTTACATTTTTTTACCTTAAAAGTTTCTTCATGTTGTATCAAAGTTGAAAAATATGGAAAAAGTCTAAAAATGTAAAGAAAAAGGTCAAAAAGTGTTAAAAATATATAGTCATTGTGTCTTATGTTGAAAAATGTATTTTTTTAAATCATAAAAGTACAAATATAATAACAAAATTCATATTATAGTGTATTGTAAAATATACACAACATGTGGTAAAAAGGGTTAAAAGTCCCAAAAAATATGAGAAAATATTATAGTATTTGGGAAAATATAAAAAAAAAGTCTAAAAATATATAAAAAAGTATACTAGTGTTTCAAAAGAAATATATAAAACACATGTTAAAATACGTTCAAAACTGTGAAAAAGTAATAAAAGTAAAAAAAAAGATGATATATATTATCAAAGAAATATGATATATATTATATCCCAATCAGACGCAGATGTTTCTTCATGTGGAACATTTGGGTTTTTATAACTGCATCCTTTCTGAAGCTGCAGCGCGTTTCTCCTGAAGGAAGAGTTTTGAGTTGTTGAAGTGCATTTGCATCATCACTGGAGATACTTCTTTTTAAAAACAAAAACAGGCTGTTTCCCTGGTTGATATTCGATACTTTGGGGATTTTCCTTGCCCTCATTTTCTGCTCTGACTTTGCTTTGAAAATCCTCAACGAGCACCAAAGCAGCAGCTAGTGAAGTATGTTTCAATGAGGACGGGACGTCTTCTGTACACTTTGTAAAGAACATGTTTTCATTAAATCTTTATTCTGCAACTGCATGCCCTACTTTCCTCTGTAATGTATTCTGAACACACTCTGACCCGCACCATTCAACTCCTCGTCTCTACGCTCAATTCAAATCAAACCAAACCAAACCAATCATTCACTTTTTGGGGGAATCGACTCCCTTTCATCACAGCTGGGACTCTGCTCTCCCTCTGATAACACTACGTTCAGTGTGCTCCAGCGAAGAGATGCTCGTGTTTCCAAAGTGTAACACGGCTATTTTTAGATGGTGTAAATAAGAGATGAAAGCTCTGGTTT